CTATATGCAATTAAGAGTCTCTTTGGTAGACTGTTGAGATAATTAGTGACAGAATATTCGACTCTTGCGGTTATTGCATATGTATCCGGCTAGAGGTCGGTGCTGTCATCGCTCGTCTTGCTTCGGGCTGTGGCCGCGCTTGTCATTGCCTCCAGCGAGCCTGTTCGTTGTCAATCATGATATCAATATTTAAACTACAACTCGTCAAAAGTTTCAGCCAATCCTCTCCACGCTAATCACATTTTATAGCGGTAGCAGTAAATAATCATCGTAATCATTTTGTCTTTTTTTCAACAAGCAAAGTCAAAGCTTCTATAGTTTCATTTTAAAAAAAAGTGTTTATAGATGTTTTCAGAAAACAGTCATTGCGTTCCGATGCACCGCTGATTCAGACTATGTTTGTAATGCTAAAGTTTTCGCATGATTTAGAGGAATCCTACCAAACATTCAATCAACTGCTCTATGCATAAAATACTTCTAGATTAGCTTACGCTTTCGTCTCTCACTGGTAGTTTCCATGTACCATCGCGAACGAACCTACTAAAAGCACAATTTGTTCAGAGCGAACATGTCTGCATGTCTTATCGCAATCGTGTACTTCCTTTAACAGATTCTCACTGCACTATGGCATATCCAGAACTTGTTCCTTTCACTTCTTTTGTTTTCATGTTCTACGCTTAATCGCCGCATTCGATGTCATTATTATAGGCTTTCCTACGGTACGAGGCCACGCCTACACGCGTACACAATTCGTTCGTTAGGCGTAACTCCGCCCCTATAGGACTTCTTATTGGACAACGAGCTCCGCCCATCGAGTTTGTTGCCATTTCTGAGAATAGTGTGTGTCAACTATCGCTCGTTCTCGTGAACACAAGGCGGCTACGTTATCTAAAGAATGGCCAAATTTTCAATCATGGATCTTTGCCCGGACCTAGTTGATCAGTCCTCATCAGGGTCGATTGTGAAACCAGAAGGTGAGAACTGGTTTTTATTCTCAGAAAATATCTAGAAGTTCTATATAGTCCATACCTTTACGCCTGCGTATATCTGAAGTTTTGCTCTGTTGCACACTCCACTGATTCGTTGTTACACGCGTCAATTTTTCTTCCCTACGCCAAAAAAAGTTCAAGATACACTCAAGCGCATTTCTGACGTATAAAACACCGTATACTTACAGTCGGTTCCGAAAGTGTAAACGTATCTGAAACAACAGCTAACCATCTTGATGATGATTATGCTGATGAAGGAATTGAAGAAGGACCTTCCGAAAGTGGCGACAGCAGTAAAGTAAGTGAAGAATTTTTCGGCACCATGTTCAGATA